ACTTAGGTCTGGAATTGCCATGTCATAGCATAACTCCATGATTATTTGAGGAACTGTTTTTAGAAGTGGCTTCAGCATTTTACATTCCCACCAGCAGAGTTTTGATTTCTCCACCTCTTTACCAACACTTGTTACTATCTGACTTTTTGAGACTAGCCATCACAGTGGGTGTGAAATGGTATGTCATTGTGATTTTTGTTTGCATTTCTCTGATGACTAGTAATGTTGAGCATCTTTTCATGTACTCATTGGACATTTGTATCTCCTCCTTGGAAAAAGATCTGTTAACATCCTTTGCTAATTTTTAAACTGCGTTATTTCTCTGTTATTGAGTGGTAAGAGTTCTTTATATGTTCTAGATCCAAGTCCAATCCATCATCAGATATATGATTTGCAAATATCTTACCCAATTCTGCGTGTTTTCACTTTTATGATAGTTTCCTTTGAAGCACAAGAGTTCTTAATTTTGATGAAGTCCAATTTATCTATTTTTTTTCTTTTGTTGTTCATGCTTTTGATGTCATATCTAAGAGACCACTGTCTAATGCAAGGCCAAGAAGATTTATGTCTATGTTTTCTTCTAAGAGTTTTGTGGTTTTTGTTCTTATATTTAGATCTTTGATCCATATTTGTAAATAGTGTGAGATAGGAGTATAATTCCATTCTTTTGCATGTGGCTACTAGTTGTTCAAGCATAATTTGGTGCAAAAACAATTCTTTCTCCATTATAGTATTTATTTTTTCTGTGGATTCAGAGCTTCTTTATTTCACTCTTATTGGATTATGTTGTTGTTGTTGTTGTTATGTGCCGTCGAGTCGACCCCCTACTCATAGTGACCCCTCCTTGGGTTTCTGAGGCAGTATCACTACGGAAGTAGGATTGCCCAACCTTCCTTCTGAGGAGTGGCTGGTGGGTTTGAACCGCCAGCCTTCTGGTTAGCAGTCAAGTGCTTTAGCCACTATGCTACCAGAGCTCCTTATTGGATTATAGTTTTAAGTATTTGTTCCATTCCATTGTTTATTTTTCACAAACTCCAAATATGTGTATTTTGGAGCTCCTTTATTTATATATTTGTGTCCGTTAACTTTTTCTCTAATTCTTCTTCCTTTCTTTCTTCTTTGGTTATAATTCCCATCCTCTATTTATTTGGATTTTGTGATGCTTTATGTCTGCCTTCAATTTCTTTTAATTTAGCCTCTATTTCTGAAATGATCTTTTGTTTTTTAAAAATTTATCTCTAAGTTATTTCAGATATATGTCCATCAATCTCTGTTGTCTGCTTACTTTTTGGATTTCTTATTTTTTCATATTTGTTGTACCTTTATACTTCAATCACTTTTATCTTTTCTTTTTTCTTAATTTCATGTTTGAATATTGTACTACAATTTTCCTCTTCCTTATGATAATACTTCTCTGGTAAATTTGCCTCATCTTCCTTCCCTCTTACCTTCTTTTTCTTTCTGTAACTTTATAAGGATGAATTGCCTTTTTAAATTTTTATTGTGATTTAGGTGAAAGTTTACAGAGCAAATTCACTTTCCACACAGCAGCTCACATACACTTTGTCTCATGACATTGACTGCAATTTACCACAGTGCAACAGCTCCCCTCCTACTTCCTCTCCTTAGTTACCTCTTCCCTGTGTCCTTCCCTCCCATGCACTCCTGCCTCCAAGCTGTCTCCCTGTGCATACACAGCCCTTCTATTCTCCCATGATTGATCTTTCCAAGGAGTGTATCTACCTAATGTAAATGTTCAGCTCATCTGGCTGTCTTTTGTTTGGCTGGAAGCCATGGGAGTGAGTTTAATTCCAGACCTGAAGGGCAGCTAGGGGCTATAGTCTCAATGGTTCCATCAGGCTCTATCAGACAAGCCAACCTGGTCCCCACCACCCCTTTTTTAAAATGTGAATCACCAATTTTTGTTACTCATATTTTATTGAATTTTATTTTTCTGGACCTTTATAACCAGAGGATCATATAGAGAGGATTAAAGAGATTAGGATAGTTTTCGTGGCTTCTTAGTTCAAAAGTCCCTCTTCAGTTGCTATAGGGATACATGATTTATTTACTATCTGACAACGAAGGAACCAAGAGAGAGTTGCTGAAAGAGACAAGGATTTTCCTTTAGAGTGGACAGAGAGAGAATACCCCTAGAGTCATGCCCCCAATTAGGACTTCTAGCCTTCTAAATGGTGAGAAAATAAATTTTTGTTTGTTAAAGACAACCACTTGTTATATTTCTGTTACAGTAGTACTAAGAAACAAAAGCAATATGCAATTAAATAAAAATATTTAAGCTTTTCTCATTAACTATTATGGAAAACTAAGAAAATGTTCCCCAAATATCTTTCTTAGAAGATATGCAACTAGTTTATTAAGAAGTAAAGCATTCTAGGTTCCAATGTTTTTCTAAATTTACAGGTTTTTAGCTTTCATTTTCAGATATATAATTACAAATACTGTATTAGGGTCTGCCATTTCATTAAGTTTTGCACACCTGATGCAATCAGATTTGAAATATTTTTATTATAAAAGCTTGAACTTAGGTGTTTTCCCTCAGTGAGGCTCAAATTTTAGTTGAAATTTCATGATGTATTTTTTCTCAGTTATCCCCTTTCGTATTTCTAGATCTCGTAGTTGAGTTTGTACCATGATTCTGTACTTTTCACTTCTTCACTCTTTTCTTTCAATAATAAAAAAGTTATTTTAAGAGGTTATTTATAATGGCCCAATTAAAATATTACAATTGTCACAAACATTAAAAATGTTGTTCTGAATAACACTAGAGGGGCACATATCCCTTAGAACAGTCAGCCACATGAAATCAAAGGGGCAGCTTTTGCCCAAGGATAAACCTCAGAAGGCAGGAAGGAATAAGAAAGAAGGACAAAAGGAAACAAGAACGCAGGGAGAAAGTGTGGAGTGATGATACATTTTGAGCATTGTAACCCATGTCACAAACAAAATGTGTATGAATTGTTGAATGGAAAACCAATTTTACTCTGTAAACTTTTACTCAAATCACAATAAAGAGTTAAAAAATAAAATTGTTCTGTACATTTCCATTTACCAAAAATACAGTGAAACTTCTAGATACCTTTGTCAACAAGGGATAAAATTCTCCCTTATTTTGCTTCTCAACTTACCCCAAGTTATGTTAGTAAAAAGAAACTGTACAACATCAAACCTCTCTTTACAATCATAAATTGATCACCACACACTAGAAAAATCAATACCAGGAAGCAATAAACCAAAGTACCTATTTCTGATCAATGCATATATTCATTGCTTCCTCATGTCTATCTCTCATACTGTTTAAGGCAATTGAGTGTAGTGTTTGTTGCAATATACACAGTTCTTGCTGAGGATCATGTGATATACTATTATCATGTGGTTCTACTTCTATCCTGTCCTATGCTTTCCTGCCTTGTCTTGCCCTATCATATCCCATTCCATATACTGACTTAGAATTCTAATTCATAAAAATGAAGTATATGCTGATAATAGTGAAGACTTCAGTCCCGAGAAGACACATCTTGATCATTCTAAAATTAGGGAAAGTTCCTAGGGAAAATACTAGCTGTTATCCTTTGTAAAAAACATAGCCCATAAAATTACAGAGCTACTTCACGATGAAACTGGAATGAGTAGAGTTTATTTAGTGAGAAGAATGGGAGTCAGTTTGACAAGCATAAACAATCAAATAGTTTAGACAGGACAGACATGTCAAAGATTAAGTTAATCTAAGTAAATTATCCCCTTTGTTTGAAGGATGAAGAAAACTGATGTTCAGAGATACTGATTGCCCTATCCACAACCATTGGCTGATTAGTGACAGAGCTGGTTAAGAATGTAAATCTTCATCTAAGCCTCTTTTTACCAGTCCCAGAGTCTAAGAGAGACAAGGAATTTCCAAACACATACAATAAAAAGTTTGCCATTTGAACATTTTATTACTTAGCAAGATCTAAATACAATCACCAGAGTTCTTAGTAGCATTGACAGAAAATAAAATGATTTCCACATCCTAAATTAACTCCATTTCCATATATTGGGTAGTTAGTTTTTATTCCTCTACAGACTAAAACAGACTTATTTTCAGAAACAATTTGCAAACTTGACATCAGGAAAGTAGGTTGGTATGTTTTGCTTTAGAACACATTCAAAGATATGGGTGAAAGTTTTAGATAATATTTCACTGTTAAATACATTGGATAATAGTAAATTGGGTTAATTGTGACATATGAGCACTGTTGAGCAAACAAGTCTTCTTGTGGTTCACAAAGGATAGAATCAAGCACATCAGATCAAAATCAGCTTAGACATAATTCAGTAAATGTCACCCGTGGAGTCTAAGTAATTAACATTCTCAAAAGCATAGTGCCAGAGTCCTGGCTTGTGTTGCCTGGCAGATTTCATACATCTGTACTCAGTTCAAATCAAACGTGGTCTTTTCACTTTCTTGGCTCACATATGGTGGACTGTAATTTCATTTAATGAAATTCTAAGATGATTATGTAAAGTTTTTCCTCTCTAATCAGTAATACAATGATGGCCTGTCATGTATGTGTTCATTTAGAGACATCTAATTTTATCTCTTTACATTTGTAGGATTTGATTAGTCATTGAGCTTCTGATTGGAGGTACAATATAGGGACCATGTAGTTTCCAACAATTAGGGAAAAGTAAATGGTTGCTGACTCACATAATGTTCTTTCTTTCTTTCTTTTTAATCCAATGGCTTTCTCTCACTTCCCAGTTGTCTATCTCTGCAGATTTCACAGTGTTCTTGAATAGTGGACATGCAGCTGGTTTGTGAGTTATAGGTGGTGGTTCATCTTGTTAATAGGTCATGTGGAGTAAATAGTGAAAGATTCAATGGTTAGTGATAGTGCTTTAAATTTGAATAATGCTATGATTTTACTTTTGGATTGGTGGTTACAGTAAAAGTGATAGTTCTGCATTCATAAGTCATATCTAATAAATGATAGAACATTTCACCGTGTGTATAATTTCCAAAGTGCACTTAATATTTCCTCAAAACTTGAAAGTAATTTCTTAATGGAATCTTCGATGGAGGGTAAAGATTCGGTTGTTTGTTCAACAGCAGTAGTTTGAGCAGTAGTTGAAATAGCAGTTTGGGTTGCGGCTGTAGCTGTAGTTTCAGAATTTTCAGGTGCAGAAGTGGTTGGGGAAGCATTAGGTGTGGTAGATAGGGCAGATGTAGTGCTAGATGGAGTTGTGGAAGGTTGTGACTTTGATGTGGTTGAGGAAGGTGTAGCTAAAGTGGTTGTGGAAGATTGTGGTGCTTGTGTGGTTGGGGAAGGTGTAGCTGAAGTGGTTGTGGAAGATTGTGGTGCTTGTGTGGTTGGGGAAAGTGTAGCTGAAGTGGTTGTGGAAGATTGTGGTGCTTGTGTGGTTGGGGAAGGTGTAGCTGAAGTGGTTGTGGGAGGTTGTGGTACTGATGTGGTTGGGACAGGTGTTGTGGATATAGTTGAAGAACGTGTTGTAGAAGAAACTGAGCTTTCTGTGATAGTTGCATTTTGACCAAGAGTAGTGATCTTTGCAGTGGAAAGAGATGTGGGAGTCACAGATGGGATTTGGGTGGGAACCACTGAGGTGTTATTTTTAATTGGACACTTAGGTGGCCTGGGATGTTGGGGATTAAGTGGAAATGGAGGCCTGTGGGGTCTTTTAGGATAAAAATGGGAAGGCTTTTGAATTAATGGTTGCTGACGAGATGGTAATCTGCGATGCACTGGTGCTTTGTGGTCAAATTTCTTTTGCTGGAGACCATTCCTTGAGTTATGTCGTTCCCCATTCCTTCTATGACCCTCACTTAGCTGTAGAAAAGAAAATGTAAGGGCTGAGAAAGTCCATTGATTTATCAACTATAACATTATCGCAGACTTTGCAAAGAGCTGTATTAGTGGAGTACACAGGCCCACACTGCTGCCTAGTAGGATCCGCCTCATAGTGATGCCTCCTTCGGTTTTTGAGGTGGTATGACGGAAGTAGATTGCCCAACCTTCCTTCCGAGGAGTGGCTGGTGGGTTGGAACCGCCAGCCTTCTGGTTAGCAGTCAAGTGCCTTAGGTACTAAGCTACCAGAGCTCCTAATCACATTTCCCTTATCCCTTAGCATCAAAACAAACAAACAAACAAAAACAAAAACAAAACAAACAAAATAACAACAAAAACCTAAGAAGCCAACTTAATAAACAAAATTCCCTACATGAGCTTTATATCCTCTATATCCCAGGAAACAGTTTTCCAACTTTATAAAAAAGAGAAAGGACTTTACTTATTTCTTTTTAACTCTATCATTTTAAAAAAGAATATTTTAGATTTATGCAAACTCAGGGGGGCCATTAATTCTCTGATATTGTAGAAAATTTTGCATATGTATGCATTTTCTCTGGATGCATAACCTATGGTGTTCATGACTTCCTAAAGATATTCAATCTGAAAATAACACTGATACAGTTCAAATGTACATCTGGTATTTTGATCTTTTCCCAACATCCCTCCCAATGACCATCAAGTCTGTCTCTGACAATCTTTTCTGACCATATCTCCCAAGCTGGCATTGTAGAGAACTCTTCCTCATACTGAAGGGAGATTTTTTGAATTTTCATTGCTTGGTCCCGAGTCTGTGCTTTGGCAGATTCCAGAGCCTTTCATCATTTTAACCTTTCATGCAATCTGGGTCTTTGGTTCTGCAAGATTAACATTCTTAGTTTCTCTAGCTACTATTTACATTATTTGAGTTTGATTATCATCACTGTACAAAGTGATCTTAACCCACATTAAGATCACAATTTTTATCAATAAACACACTGCAGTTTGTCTATATCCTTCTTTTATCTGAATTCTAGTTCAGAAAATAAGTGAAATAAATTTAAAATGATCAGTTATATTAATTTAATTTAAATTGGAGAAAAAATATTAACATAAGCATTAAATGGCACATCTCAAATTCTCAAAGATAGGTGATTTTTTTTTTTCCCAATAACTTCCACAGAAACTCTTTACAGACCACAAAATGGATAAATCATTCTAGTACCATATTATAGAGTTCTTTTCAGAGACACAGTGTAGAGCAGGTAAAGGCGGATTAATAGAGTTGTCTAGCTAAAATGACTTCCTCAGAGACTAATACGCCCAGTCACATAAGTAGTTTAGGAAATCATTATCCAAAACAACTCACTGTTATTGAGTCACTTCTGACTCATAGCAACCCCCACTGGGTTTTCAAGGCTTTATATCTTTACAGAAGCAGACTGCCCCACTTTCTTCCGCAGAGTGGCTGGTGAGTTTGAATCACCAATTTTTTGGTTAGCAGCTGAATGTCTTAACAACTACACCACCAGAGTTCCTCTAGGAAATCATTATTTGCTAAAAAATTTAGTAACATAGTAATATTCAATTCTAAGTAGCTCTGGTAGCATAGTGCCTAAGCACTTGACTGCTAACCAGAAGGCTGGCAGTTCAAACCCACCAGCCACTCCTCAAAAGGAAGATGGGCAATCTACTTCTGTAGTGATACTGCCTCGGAAACCCAAGGAGGGGTCGCTATGAGTCAGGTCTGACTCGACGGCACATAACAACAACAACAACAACAACAACAACAACATTATTCAATTCTTAACTGAGAGAATCAGTAAATTGAAACAATGGATTCTGGTCCACATAACTTTGATGTTTTTACATTAGTCTCTTTTAGAAGGATGTAGAATCTCAGAATTCCTACCACTGAACCCAGGCATGCTTCTCCTGAACATGGAACAACTCAGAAGAGCCTTCCCATTAGAGGGCAGTAGTTTTCTAATTTAAAACAAACAGGTTACTTTTTTCAAGTAAATTTTTCTCTAGAGACTCAATATGCAATCCAGATGATCACTTCCAGAACTACTGTAATTGAAGCAGGTTTGAGGGCCTCACAGTCCACCAGCTCAGCCTATCCCTTTCTTAGGTGGTCTCCAAGGATTCTGTGAAGAACCTCCAGATTGTAGATGAACATAATTGGAACGTAGAGCAGATGGAGTCTGTCCTGGCTGTGCCATTAGATAACCAAATGACTGGGCAATTCAGTCTCACTGGATTTCAGTTTGTTCATTGGTAAAATGAGAGATTCACATGAAATTAAATCCAAGTCTGATTTATGACTTCTATGCTTTGATTTTGAAATAGTTAGGCTCTTTCTTTCCTAATTAGAATGATTAGTTTCATGAGAGCAGGGATTTTGTTTTGCTCATTTCTGTATTTTTAACACCTAGAACTACATAGCACACACACATTAGATAGTTATTAAATAAATAAATGCACAGAATTGATCATAAAGAAACTTATTTCTCATTGAACAGAATCTTAACATTTCAAAGTGTTTATTAGGATGTGAATTTTGGTTTTTATTAGAATGTAAAAAGTTTAAGCTCTTTTATTTTAGGGTGGCCAAAATAATACCTATGGCATTTTGGTAAGAAGACAGATTAATTAAAAACCTATGAATTTGAATGGTTGCTTAGCAGAGAACATGTATCAAGTTTGTTTGACTTCCTTACTAAAAACATATTGACTAATTATTGATATTGGCAGTTACAGATGGCTTTAACAAAACTTGTTGATTGGAACTAGTTTTGGGGAAATTTGAGAGGGAAAAGAGTAAAAAATTCCTCTAAGGATTTGGACTTAGAGATTGAAATACAGTGGTGCTTAGAAGAAATATAGATAGATCAGGAAGAATATATTAGAGATACCAACCCTTGCCTGCCTGCTTACACTTTTGTTTGTTTTTAACGTGGGTTGAATTCACCTAGTCCACTTACTTTATGCCAAATCCTATTCTAAGTGGTTTGTTGTTGTCGTTGTTGTTGTTGTTATGTGCCGTCGAGTCGGACCCGACTCATAGCGACCCCTCCTTGGGTTTCCGAGGCAGTATCACTACGGAAGTA